TACTCCACCCGTTGGAAGAATCTCCCAGCTGAGCCATCTACCCAAACACCATTCAGTAGATTTTTCTCCAAGTCGATCCTTATGCAAACATGAGCAAACTCACATTTACCCCAACAAAATGTATTGCCATCTATGTACATTGGAGACCCAAAGCAAGAAGCAATTCTCGCTATATTGTCTTCATCCTAACAATACAGCGGCAAGCACGAAAATCTGATCTAGACGGGAGCAAAAATTCCCTTAAATGAATTTGGATCAAAACAGGGGACCATCTATCCATGCCGACAATGAACCCGCTCACGTACCAAGGCCCGCCATTCAAAATTTCTTCTACTTCCTCATTCGATTTAAAGGAGCAAAAAATCCAGTTCATACCGATTGACGTCAAGTGAAATCCACCGTATTTGCTCCACTGTCTCCTAAGTTCAATGCTGCAAACAGAGAACGGCACATTGCTTCCCAAAACCTTAATTACTATCGTATTTTTCAGGATTTGTGAATTCTTTTCCTCCATTTCTAAATTTAGCCTGGCTTTAATCCCATCTTCAGAAAATTCAGCTTGGTCCCTGTTAAACGATATCTTGATATGTTTTGGCTTTGACCATGCTTCAGCAACCTCACCATTACCCTCCTGTAAGGATTTATCATTCAGATTGGGCTTCGAGACACCAATACTCTTTAAATCCTTAGCAGGATCCTCAACGTGAGTCAAATTATCATCAACCTTCTGACCTTCCACCACTGTCAGATCATTAGAAATATTTCTACCCTTCTGCACATCAAGAACTCCAGAAAAATTATTCACCCTCAATGTTAGATCATCCGAAGCTGAAGATTCAAGAACAGCAAAGTCTGGATTTCTCTTCATATCCATATTCTTCTTAATAGTCATATTCTCCACCATAACATTCTTCCCCTTACCCTCAACAAGAATTTGACGGCTCGGAGGTCTTACCCCTTCTCTGATCACAATGCCATTTGATACTCTACCATTGGAACGTAGAGTACCAGTAGGATGCGGAGGATTCATGACACCGGCAAAGAAATGCCGGCGATCATCAGGCGACAACTTTCGCCGATCACGAAAAGCTCGCGCAAAACAAAATTCGAACATATCGGAGAACTTTCTCTCTCTAGAATTCCAGACATTCTCTCTCTAGAATTCCCAACCAAACTGCAATTTTAGTCAAAGGAGTGTAAATCGAGCTAAATAAAAATTAGAGCTAATTTGTCTGATTTTCTGGCACATTCAGAATGTGCTGAACAATACGGTGCATTCTAAATGCACCAAACCAGTCTACGTTTATATGAGATGAACTCAACGAAAAAAAAAAAAGAACAATACTCTAAAACTTTCAAGTTGGCTTTGATCAGGCATGAATCTCAATGTAAATATGAAAAAAAAAAAAGAACTTTCAAAATTAAATTTGGGATTGTCCAAGCTCCAATTTCAGCAAGCATATAGCCAAATGAGACATCTCAATGAGATGAACTCAACGATATCAAATTTAGTCCAACTCGAGCTCAAATTAGAACAAATCAAAGGATCAAAGCCAACTTGAAAGTTTTAGAGTAATAATTAGATGACCAATTGAAACCAAATATGACATTCTTATAGGAAAATTAAGTGGCTTAACGAGACAAATCCAAAAAGCCCAAGATCACTCCGCACTGACATTATTAAAACACTCAAATGCTCTATAATCAAGGGAACTAATTATATCAACCGTCGGATGGAATAGTCCCAACCTACTCTAGATCTTCTCCATATTTATTAATTTTTTACTCACAAAAAATAATAAATAGCTTTCCATTCTTCAAATGACGGGGAAGGAAGATGAGAGAAAGTTTGAGAGCTCTCTAGCACTCTCCATCCAACAATGCCACCACTGGAGTTCTTCCCAACCACTGATCATAAACGAACTTACATTCGTTCTTCGACTATCGCCGAAACTCTTCTTGAATGCTATTGAAGCCGGATCTCCTCCCAAATATTGTCACCTACCAACTATGATCTTACCAACCATCATAACCGATTGTTTATAATCATTCTAACCATCATAGCCCACCGACTACAATCCTTTTGACCATCATCACCTGCAAACTACGGTCCTTTTGACCATTATCTCTCATTGACTCTGATTTTTCTATCCACCATTATCCATAAACTATGGTCCTTCCTACCACCATCATCTGCTGACTACGGTTCTTCCAACCATTGTTGCATGTTGACTACGATCCTTCTAAGCGCCATTGCCTGCCAACTATGATCCTTCCAACTACCGTCGCTCGCCAACTATGATTCTATTGATCAAATAAATATGCCAACACTCTCTTATGAACTAATGTCCTGCAATGATCTCTATATAATGTGTATTTGCTATATTGAGCTAACATCCTCTTTTAAAGAGGGACATCATTTATAGTCAATCATCAATGCTAGTGGCTTCATTAAAACTAGGCTAGGTCCCGTGTTTTTTCCCTTTTCAGTATTTTTCACATAAACATCTTAGTGTCTCGTATGCATGATGCACCTTACTCTTTTATATGTTTTTGTATTGGGTCTTCATACAAAGTTAGGATGCAAAAAGTTTATATATTTCTACATTTTCAATTATTCCAGGACATGACAAGCATTTTTGACTAGTTCCAAAATTTTATGTCGTATTATCGTCTAGTGTGAGACTAATGCACAGTAAGTCATCTAGTGTGAGATTAATGCATAGTAATTTAGTTTTAGAGGTTTGAGAGGTTAATGCATAATATTTTTAATTTAACTCTTTGCTAATTTTTAATTATATGATAATTAGCTGTAAAAATAATTATATAATAAATAGTTAAATTATGTAATTAGATGAGAATTAATTTATAATTATGTTATAATAAATTTAATTATCTATTCATGTAATAATTAATTAAAATTAACCTAAATAGTTAATTTAATTAATAATGTCATGTAATTCTATCTTAATATTTGATTAGTTAATATAATATTGATTATTTGAAATAGTAATATCAAATAATAGTTATTAGTATTTTTAGTGTGTTTGGACTTTGAATTTCTCTTTTAAAATTTTATTTAGAACATTGGATCTTTAAGTTTGTCTCATTATTCATTGCTAAGATGTTTCTTGCAACAACACATCATATCAGATGACATGTAAAGATGTAATATCCAATCAAGCAATATTATAATTTTAACTTGCATGTGAATGTGGGATATACACAACCTTGGTTATTAAAAGGGGGTGCATTCACATATCAAGTAGAGTTATGAATATTTGAATTTACACCTTCAAAATATTTTGATCTTGTGTGGAAAGAATTCTAGGCATCCCTAGTAAACAAAGGTTTGATGATGCAAGAAAAAGAATGCATGCTTTTATAGTACGGACCAGTGATAGTCTATTGTAGAAAAAAGCGAATGTAAATGAGATATTTAGATGTTGCATCTATGAATGATCAGAAGATGAGAATGATGCCCTTTGGAGTATGTATGCTGAGATAATGATAGTAAAACTATATAAGACTATAAATTTTCTAAATTTTGCCGGTTAACAATATGTAAAGATGAGATTCTTAGAAGAAAATGATCATCTAGTCAGTCCTCATTTCTTGCAGAGGTGATATCATAAGATGAAACGTGAGAGAGAGGGTGGTTATCACCAGATGCTGACCGCAATAATCTTGACATTAAGTATGTGATTTTATATCATCAATGGTATTATACTTTTGATGAGTTCATTTTGGATTTCTATAACTATTAGATGAAGGAGCTATTAATTGAAGATTAGCTAAATAAAAAATAAAAAATTGAAGGTTAGCCTAGAAATTTTTTGAATGGTAAGGACTGACAAGACTTTCAGTTTAAGTTTCCTTTCAAGTGTTGCCTGACTCAAACCCAACTCCAAGCATGTCTACTTATGGTGCTTAGGAAATAATAAAGCTATGTAATACTATGAATGTCAGCTTTAGTTTTATTTATTTATTTACTTATTTTTTGCATGCTTAGTAAAGCTATTATCTTAGTGGAGATCAATTTGAACTATGGATTGCTTTTTTAGACATGCAAAAAGAACTAAGAGTTCTGCATTTTCGAAACTAACTTTATTTTAAACTGCAACATACATACTTGATACATTTATACATATACAATAACATAATTAGAAAATAATGGAACATCTACCGACGACGGAAGGGAACCACTCCTAAGGGTATATCTAATTGGTGTTTTCATCTTTTCCTTTGAAGGCGTGGCTCCTCAACCACCACCTCCTCATGCTCTTGAACTTGTGCATACTACTACGATGGTTGTCCTCCTAGTAAGGGTATATCATGCTACGAGGGGTAAGATGGCAACCCAAAAAATGGCATCCACTTTGGTATAGCCATGTGAAATAACTAGCATGTAAGGGGTTGTTAGGACTAGCTACCGTACTACATATATGTTGTCTCACTAGTCTGCGCACTGTATGGGTTCCAATGCTGTGAGGAAGGTTCCGAGCCTATCACGTCATAACCGACAGAGAGTGTGTACATGGAATGTCTAGGTGGATCATTCTTCATGATCTGTTCCCTTGAACACCTTCCAAAAATCAACCTAGTTGATTGACGTTGGTGACTGCATGCCGATCTGAAAAAATATAACAATTGTCATTTGTTGGTATGTAAATTCTTAACATCAATAGATAAAATAACACTAACCTCATAAGCTCAATAGAAATGAAAGCTTAGGATAACAACCAATGATTTAAAAATCGGACCGGACCGGCCGGTTCATCGGTTTGAACTGGGAACCGGCCAGGCGGCCAGTCCGGTCCATCCCTTTAAATCGGGTTGTACTCAAACTAGCAAAAAATCGGTTCAATTACTGGTTGAACCGCTAAACCGTTGGACCGGGCAAGGATGAAAGAACAGGCCGGTTTCAAAATTTTCTAATAAGAGCCGTTGATTGTAAATCATAAATCAAACAGCTGAAACATGATTTAAGTGGATTAAAGCGATCGAAACGAAACCCTCGTCCCTCATTTCGCAATTCGCACAGATAGTTCGCTGCTCTTAAAACGCGAAGTCGCAAACCCTGCGGGACTGTTGGAGGCGAACGACATCTTCTTTCGCGCGCATGTCGCTCGCAGGTGAGTCTTTGTTAAGGCCCTTTCATCTACCATTTTGGTCGAACAATGGTGGCGTTTGTTTGTGCATTCTTCCGTCTGTCCGAGCAAGATAGGGGAGAAAGAGGTTGCGAAATCCGATTTTCTTTTTCTTTTTCGGTTTAGAAAGAGTTAATTTTAGGATGATTTAGAATTAGCATTACCTGAATAATCGTTTTTTCACATCAGTTGCGATTTTTCGCATCAGTTTTCTGTTTTGAGAAATTTTTGTTGTTACATTAAATCCTTCCTAATTTCGATTTCAATTGGATCCAGCTTTTTTTTTTCTGCATAAATTTATGTCATTTTGATCATTTTTTATGTTGTGTTTTCAAAATCTAAGTTTCATCAATGAAATTTCTGAGAAATTTATGATTAAAGAACGTTATTGTAATGAATGAGATTGTTTGTTTTTTATAAAAATTTCATTTTTAATTGATTTGCTTTCTTTGGGGGTATTTGGTTCTTCCTGAAGTGGACTGAGCCTGCATGTTTCTCCTTGGATTTTTGGCTAAGTGGTAAACTGGTAACATAATTTGTAGGGGTTTTTACATACATACCACTTTATACCTTATATTTTACATATCTAACACCTAAAACTTAAATATTACACAACAACAACTCAAACACAAACTTAACCTCATATATGCCACTCCGTTTCACTCCGCTCAGTCTCCGCTCACTCCGTTTCACCTTCCCGTAATTTCCCGCGCGTGCGTTGAAATTTCGCGCGGAAGGACCTACATCCCGAAGGCTGCAGAGTGAAAAGGTTGTTCTGCCACTCTGTTTCACTTCTGATTTTGTCCGGCTTCTTCTATTTTGTTGCGCAAAAGATTTAGGTTAATACCTTCTGACCTTTTGTCGCACAGAAGAGATTTAGGTTAATCCCTTCTTACCTTTTGTCGCACATAAGCTTTAGATTAGCTGCATAGCCATGATGCATTGAATAATTTTCCTGATAGCTGCATTAGCTAATTTCCCTCTTTTTACTTTCTCCTCATTCTCTTTTATTTTTACATTTTTTTTCTAAAAATGTGGTGTTTTTTTTCTAAAAATGTGGTGTTTTTTTTGTCTTATTATTTCAGGTTTTAGTTGAAAAAGAAATTGCTAGTGGGTGGCATACTTTGTCTAGAATGGATTGTGATGATTTATGTGGAGAGAATGAAGGGCATTTTTTGTTACAATTAAATATGGAGGATTTTGGATTGATACCAATGATAACTTTAGAAAGAGATATAATGGTGGCAAACAAAGGACCGTCAAAATTGAGAAAGGAAGTATGAATCTTTTTATACTCAAAACAGAGATTCTTAAAATATGTCCATGGCTTAAAGGATATAAATATAGTATGCATTATCACATTCACAAAACATCGCCGAAGGAGTACAAAATTATAAATACTGACATAGACGTGGTAGAGATGGTTACACATTCAAGTGGAAATTTTCGTGCTGAGTTAGTTATCTCAGTAGAAGAGGTAGATAGAGATCATTCAAACACAAACCTCATGGGGGTTGTTGGTGATGAATATATGGCAGATTGTTCTGTGATCCATAATGGTTGTATTTCAAGTGTTCAGACTACAAGTGCTATAGATATTGGTATTGGCACCTTCTTCAATGATGCAAGAAGTTTCAAGAATGCTCTCCGATCAGTTGCCATAAAGGAGAACTTTGGGGTTCAGATAAAAGCCAGCGATAAGAAACGTGTGATTGTGACTTGTTCCTATCAAGGTTGTGAATGGAGAATTCGAGCCTCTTTATGTGAAGACACTCAATCTTTCAAAGTTAGGAGACTAGATGGAGTACACACATGTCCTGGAATAAATCGAGCTGGGAATAGGCTGACAACATCTGCTTGGGTTGCCAACGAGATACAGGAGATGGTAAAGAGGTACCCAGATATCCCACCTAAAGAAATAAATAGTAGTCTAGAAAAAGAGTTTGGCTTATCCTTACCTTATATGAAGCTTTGGAGGGCAAGAGAGGAAGCCCGTGATGCTTTATTTGGTTCAGTTGATGACAACTACAAATGGGTTCCAACATTGGCAGCAGAACTCCATAGAAATCCAGTAACTCATATAACATATGCATTTAACAGTGAAGATCATTCATTCCTGAGGTTTTATGTTAGTTTTAAGGTATGTGCTGACGGTTTTCTAGCTGGGTGTAGACCACTAATCAGTTTGGATGTATGCCATCTTAAGTCGAAGTACCTATAGGTGTGTTGCTATCTGCTAACGCCTTAGACGGAAATAATGACTTATTCACTTTAGCATTCGCTGTGATGGAGACTGAGTCGAAAGGGACATGGTCATGGTTTCTCCAAAATTTGGGAGAAACAATTGGTCTTTCTTTATATCCTCTGTGTTTTATTTCAGATATGGAGAAGGGTTTGGGAAAGGCTATAAAAGATGTATATCCTGAAGCTGAACATAGAATTTGTATTCGCCATTTGTGGAAGAACATTAAAAAAAAATTCCACTGTAAAGATGGACAAAAAGTGCATGGACTTGTCTGGGAGGCCGCTAATGCTTACACAAATACAGAGTTCAATGAGAAGCTAGTAGAACTATGTCATTTGAGCCAAGCAGTTTACTCGTATCTTATTTCTTTACCGTATAAGTGGTCAAGGAGTCAGTTTATGATTGGGATATGTCATTCTGCAAATGCGAACAATTTTGCCGAGTCATGCACTTTTTGTATATAATAACCGCTGATTTATCATATTGCCTATGGTGTAGGTACAAACTAGCATATGAAGGGGCAATTTCCACATTACCCGGAAAGGATCTTTGGCAAGTAACAGAGAATACGGAACATGTTGGTGTACCTAGTACTTATAGACCAAGAGGAAGACCTAGGAAAAAAAGATTGCTAAATTTCTTGGAGCAAGATAAGAGGTCACATAGGTGTGGCAGATGTGGTTTATGAGGGCATCATAGGAGTACTTGCAAAAATCCATTGCGAAATAATAATAACAAGGACAATTTGCGTACAGAAGTTGGATGAAGAAGTCGGACAAAGTTGCCAAGCAGACGGAATGGAGAGGATCATCAACTTGAAGATTTCGAGTTCTCATATGTGACTGGATTTTAGGATTGATAGCATTCACTGCTCTTTAAGAAGTCCCTGTTTTGACTTTTTGAGCTAGTACATAGTAGCTGTAATTTTTTTGAGCTAGTAGATAGCAGCTGTATTTTTTTTGAGCTAGTAGATAGCAGCTGTAACTTTTTTTTTGGGCTAGCAATATCAACAACTTGAAAGTATTGACTGTTATGAATTAGCCATTCTCTTGATTCAAAGAAATTTTATGTATTTAAGTTGAATGATGTAGAACTATGACGTTGGTTGATTGCCTGATTTGGGAGAAATAGCTAAATGTTTCGTTTCAAGATGAAATTTTGAGTAACTTTCTGGGTACCGTTTTGAAATTTAACTAATAAACTTTGAGTAACTTTGCCATTCTGGGAACCGTTTTCAAATTCAAATATGCACGTTAAATTAACTGTCGTTTTTTTTTAAGCTGTCTATACCGAAATCTGTAATCTGACGTGAACTTTGCCTTTCTGTAATCTGACGTGAACTCAAATCTGCACGTTATTAATTCATACAGAAATCTGTCTATACAGTTGCTGCAGGTTTTTTTGAGCTGTCTATACCGAAATCTTACAGAAATCTGTCTTACAGAAATCTGTCTATACAGAAATCTGTCCATCATGAAGTCAGCAATTCCTTTTAGCATGAAGTTAACATTTCCTTGCTGTAGGTTTTTTTGACCTGAACAAAGAGCTGCTTGACAATGACAAACAGGAGAGAATAATGCATAAATTTGATCAATAATTCAACATAACAACTTACAATACCCTTGACCAACACATCAATAAAAGGTTGCAAAACTAAACATAACAAAAACAACCTTTTCTGCAGTCGACACAACACGTTACAAACACAAACGGATGATTACATCAACAACAACAATTACAATGAAGACTTTCATCAAGAACATCATCCATTCAAGCATATTAATAACCTTCGCCTCAAACACTTTGCGCTCATCGTCTATACCAAAAGATGCATCTTCAACTTCATCTATCCATCTGAAGTATCTGCAGTTGTCATCAGTTCGGTTATTCACGCACCTATAAAATTTTCTTCCATTATTAGGTCCACGGTGGCAAGTGTACAATACACAATTCAGGTGACAGTGACAATAAACTTCAAATCGTTGGCGTCTATCTCTCGTAGCGGACGAATTCGTAGAACTCATTTGAAACGTTTTGGAATAAACCAACCTTTTCTGTAACAAAACAGAGAGAATTTTTAGGAAAGATAACACTCATGACATTCTGTATCAAAAAAAAAAAAGTGGAAAATACCATTTCTGTGGCAAAATAGATATAATTCGTGACATTCAGAAATGGTATTTTCCACAATTTTAGGGTAGATAAAACAGATAAAACATTCTGTAACAAAAAAAAAATTGCCACTAGCAATCGGATATACAAGAATAGAAAAAACTTATACAAGAATAGAAAAAACTTATGGAACTCTATTAATCAAAGAAGTTACAGAATAGATAAAACTCAGCCGCTATTCCTGTAGAAAAACGAAAGCAAAATCGCAGATCTACCCAAAGGAGTAATACCTTATTTTTATCAAAAGAAGTATACATACGAATTTACAGAAAAATCGAACCTAAACTCAGCCGCTCCTCCTACATCGAGGAGATCTTGCTCTGCTGCCCGAGAGAAAGCTTCAGCGGAAAAACTCACGCTGGATTTTTAGGGCTACCCGAAATACATCTCCCGCCGAATCTAAAGCAGAAATAACGACAGAGACGGAGTGAGTCATGTTTTTGACGAAGTGGCATATATGAGGTTAAGTTTATGTTTGAGTTGTTGTTGTGTAATATTTAAGTTTTAGGTGTTAGATATGTAAAATATAAGGTATAAAGTGGTATGTATGTAAAAACCCCTAATTTGTAATTTTCATAACATGATATATTGTTATGGTTCTTGCCAACGGACAATGGCTAATGAAAGCTTAGTCAGCATTCAATTATATTGTGAACCATCAGTAACATGGGTCATCTTTTATGCTGTTGAGCCCTGACGAGCCATTTTAGATGACTTCTAGATTTATTTGTTTTGATGAACAAGGATTTAGGGATATCACTTTTGAACTTTGAAGTTTGACTTGATATGAAATTATGAACATTTTGTTTGATGCCAAAAGCTACGCATTTGTTTATGTTTTATTGACTAATTTAATGCGACACTTATATTATGTGTTATTTACTTATTTGTTAATATTTCATAAACTTGATTGATGTCATGTTTATGTTATTTGAATTAGGGGCTATGAAAATAGAATTTAGAATGAATGTATAAGAAGAAAATTTAACATCTATTTTATTTTATTTAATAATATTATTATTTATTACGTCATCCAGTTCGATCGAACCGTGAACCTCTCCATTTTTCGGTTCGTTGTCCGATCCGATTTTCACATCTTTGTTAACAACTACAAAATCAAATAAAATTTACCATTATAAATTTTAGAACAAAAATTAAATGCAAATATCATAAATAAATTCAATATACATAAATGTTTCAACTGAAAAACATAACCCATAATAACTAAACAATACTAACCTCACAAGCTTAACCGGATGAAGAATTTTTTAAGAATATGCCGAAGGTTTTGGCGCATTCTAAGTGCGCCAAAATTGTTAGCGTATTCATGGCATGCACCCAAACATATGGTGTATTCTGACTTCAACAAATACTTTAGTGCATCTGCTCCAACTTAAATTTTGCTCTGTTTGTACTCCTTGAGTTAAATTACACAGCTTATGTAGTCCATCTTAAATATTGTCCAAGATATATCTTATTTACAAATTGTTTAAATTAATTAATTTTGACATAAAATCTAGAAAATTATTTTACTAAATTTATTTCAAATTAAATTAAATTGTTTGTTTCAATTTTGAAAGAATCACAATGTAATTAAATTTAGTCATTTTTAATTAAAATAGTATATTTTAAATTTTTGTAAACACAAATAATTGAAATATGACAAGAAGTTGAAAATTTTTGTACTTGTTTGCAAAATACAAAGTATAAATTTATGATATAATCATATTATTATATTCTAAAATAATGGCTTTTATTATATTATCAATGATGAAAGTAATAGTTTAATAATTTCATTAATAGTAATCTTATTAATTTCATGCTTTCATTACTACTATAATAGGTAGAATGAATAGTTTGATTTAGGAATTTTGCAGGAAGTTATTTAAGAAAGGAAATAACTGAGAAAAGTTTATAATTTTGAATTATTTATTTGATTATCTGATGAATAAATGTTTCATCTTTTACTAAATTATTTGAGGACTACAGTTTCAATCGAAAGAATTGATCTTTGAAAGAGGCGTTGCATAAATATAAAATTATATAAGTATGAAAATAAACACATATTTATATATTTGCAAATACAAATAATTATGTAAATTTATATTTGTACTCCTTTATAATT